ATATATATATTTACATATATATTAAATATACAAAAGTAGACAAAATGATGCTGATTCCTACGGAATACCATTTCATTACCAAGGTATGAGAATAATGAAGGTGCATGGAAAGTTTTAAAATGAATATTTTAGCCATATAATGGTCCTTTTCAGTACTTTTTAAAATCTGAGTTACTGATCTATTATAAACAGAGCTTATTTCTTTCTCTATTTTAGCCTTTGAAGACATTAATAGACTTAATTAAGAGTCTCTAATAGAAACTTTTGTAGCAGGTAGTTCATAGTGAAACAACCCAAAGAAGACAGTGGTAGAAATCACCAAGGAACCTAGGTGAACCAGAACTGTATAATCCATGCTGAGCACTGAAGGAATACCTGGGCCGCAAAGCAATGTCATTGCGATGAAGTTACAAGAGTATCAAACAAAATCAAAACTAGATTCAATTCGTATTCCAGGACTTCATGTTTCCCAAGTATCAAAGTATGTTCTAACATTAGCATCTGTGTCATCACTGAACTATATGGAATACTGAGCAAAGGTGATGCGTAAGGAGAGCTCAGACACATGAAAGTGAAAGAGAAGCCAGTGGCCGTAGACTAGTTTACTAGTTTGATACTAGTTTGTAAATTAGTAACCCTGTTTTCATGATATCAATGTGTTTACAAGGTATCATGTAAGTAAAAGCAATTTTGCATTAAATAGTAAGTGATTAGTTACAGCTTGACAACTTTCACATACCTTCATAGTTTGAATGTGAACTATCTCCTGTAGACTCACACTTGGTCCCTAGATGGTATAAGAAGGTTGTAGAGCCTTTAAAAGGTGAAATCTTGCTAGAGAAATTATCTCACTGAAGGCCAATTTGAGGCTTTATAGCCCTCGGGACCACTACTTCCTGTTTATCCTAGACATCCTGAATAGGAGTGCAGTGTGAACAGTCATCTTTCTGCTTCTCCATTATTCCTTCCCTGCCTAGACCATGTCCTCTCCACTGTGACAAACTGTATCCACCTAGAGCCAAAAGCTAAAATGAACTCTTTTACCCTTAGGTTACCTTGCAGGATATTTTATCACAGCAACAGGAACGTAGCTTGCACATATATTGGCATGTATGGGTACAAATCCAAGCATAGAGAGGCAGACAAACTCCACATAAATGTGAACATGTTCTCTCTACAGATGGATGTGGCATCTCTACTGCCATTTGAAGTTCTCTACATCTTCTTTGGAGTCAATCCAATATTCAGAACAAATCGGGTATTAAAGGTAAAGAAACTATGTTCAGCTGGGTTCTCCTTCTCCTAATGGAAATCTTGAAGCAAGTTTAGATACCCTAAAATTAACAGTACTCAACACATTCTAAAACAGTTCTCCATTTCTCTGTCTTCATCATTACTATATTTTAATGGATAATGACATTGAACAAGTATTTTTTATAATCCAAAATAGAATGCTTTTATACTTCTAAAGATGACTGGAATCACAAATAAATAACTTATAATTACTATTTTTTCACTGCTACCCATTTTATCAGAGATTTTCTGAATGTCTGAAGTATCAGGTGATCAAACGAGGCAACAAACAAACAAAAATGCAGTTAAATTTCCTGAGGCCCCGAGACAATCTACATAAAAATTTACCTGGAAAACAAAGAATCTTTTCTGTGTAATAATATGGAAAGAAGTTCAAGATAAATTGCTAAGGAAAAGGGAGGAAAGCTAGATAGAAAATACTTTACAGAACAAAATCAATTTATGTAAACCAGAAAAAAAACTGTTAAGTTTTCTAAATTAAAATAAATTAATAAATACTACAACTGTTTTTTCAAAACTAATCAAAGCAATTCCCTTAGATGAAAAGGAAAATCAGGATGGAGGCAAAAAGAAGGACAAAATTTTGAAGTGATATATTTAATATTGATTTTGAAACATATTTCCTATTCAAAATATTCTTAGACATACATATTTCATAAACTCAGATTTGTTGGATAACTTATACAAATTAGAGGCAAGTCTGAGTGAATGTTTACATACATTTTGAAGAATAGCAGTAGTTAAGAGTACTGACTGCTCTTGCAGGATCCAGTTTCAATTCCCAGCATCCAGATGTCAGTTAACCATGGTCTATAATTCTATTTCCTGGGGATCTAGCACCTTCTACTGTCAGCTGTGAGCATCATCTGTGGAGCAAACATGCATGCAGGCAAAACATCTATACACACATTTTTTTAAAAAATAACAAAAATAAATAAATCTCAAATTTTTGAAAGAATACTAATAACTTGTACTTCAAAAAAAACAACCCACTAAAAGTAACTCAATGTACGTTATAAATTTTAATTGTGTATGTTTTGCATCCTGGGAAAACACCTTAATTATATTTCCAGCATAATCTAGCAACCATGAGATCCTACAATGCCAGCAACTGCAATGGCTAACTTTGCTACACACTTTTATTAGAACTGTCCTTCCTTTATCTATCTTATTCCTCCTAACAATTTCATGTTATCACTGAGGAAGATGAGAATCAGCATAGTGGGAAAGCCTGTCCACCCACACTGATAATGTTGCCATCACTTATCTTACTGAAGATTATTTGCTATAATTTCCCAGATAGAGCTCAAGCACAAAAATCTTTCTGTGCTTACAATTTTTTTTAAGTTTAAAAGATTCTGACCCTGTATTCCCATATGACCAAGAATGTCCTAGAGTGTCCTGGTGTGACTTTGCAGTATGAGTGTAAATCAAGGCAGAATGCAATGTTCTAAGCAGTCTAGCTTCAGGCTACCATGTCATCAAACCTAGATTCTCACAGGAAAGTTTCAGGAGACATGTGTTCAGAAATAGCTGATTTTCAAAAAAGACTCAGATACTTGTGGAATTTGGAGTTTAAATAGATTTTTAGTGAAAGCTTATAAATATTCCCTTTTATACCCCATCTCTGAACCCACGTTAAAGAGCTGTCTAGAGCCAGCATTTTAATGTAGAATATTATGTAAGTCAACACTGACTTTTTCTAACTGAATAGTCCTATCTTTCAGTTATTTATAAAGGTGTTATTGGATAGACAATTCTCTAGGGTAAATATTATCATATACCTGTCTCCAGGCTATAAATGGAAAAAAAAACACGCTATGAACACATTTGTTTTAAAACATTGTCCTCTCAGCAAACTTCTAGTAAAAGCCAAATAAACAAGTTATCAAAAATTGTACTTAATACAATCTGAGCTTTTGAAGGATACTTTCAGAAATCTGGGTGAACAAACATTTGTATATATTTCTACCTTAAAAGGAAATCTTATTACTTTATATATAATATGAATGTATTACATATAATAATAATGTATTACATATAATAGTAATGTATTACATATATTAGTTTTTAAACCAAAGGGTCAGCAGTCACATATAAATTGCAGGATATTTTGTCGTAAGTAGTGGCTGAGGACTCGTGTCTATAAGATCTTCCTTTTCTAAGCACATTCAGCATGTCAATGAATACCTTCACACACTCTTTTCATTATATCATTTTTAGGTAAGGAGCCAGGGTATGAAGTAGAAAAATTTTCTAGAACCATATCAGCAATAGTTTCTGGAATTTTGTTCTGGGATTCATGGTGAATCTATGGTCTTATTCTGTGCCCTATGTCCTATAGAAATGAAGAAAGGAGGAAAGGGTGGGACAGGAGTACCTCAAGGAAGTGAGAGCTGAGACAAAACTAGAAATGAAAGACAATGTACAGCATTTGTCACTCTGGATCTGAGTTACCTCACTCGGTATTTTCTCTAGTTCCATTCCTTTACCTGAAATGTTATGATTTTTTTTCTTACAGCTGAGTAAATATCCTTTGTATGAATCTGCACATTTGAGAATCTTGAGGGAAACAGCAACTCTGTTTTGATTAGATCACATGAAGCCGCTGAACCTTCAGATAGCACAGAATAACAAGCCTCTACTAATGTTCAGTGGATTTTACAGTTTGAAAAAATATATAGATTTACTGCCTCTTCCTTAAAAACAAAGTTACTGTTAACAACAACGTATTTTTCTTCCTTTATTTATGTTTTAGAAGTATGATTTTAATCATTGTAAAGTAGAATTTCACTATACACGTCAGAAAGAAACCCATTATTGATTTTCAGCATGCATCAAAAATAAGGCTATAATGAAAGGACAGAAATAAAGTAAAATAATAAGCTCTATAGGTTTGGCATCTTGTTAAAATACTATTTATAGAAAATATTATTAAATATGACATGGGATTTTTAACGGTGTGAACAAAATCATTTCCAATAAAATAAAATCTATGTTATATCTTTTTATCTAAATAAGCATTCAGGTAAATTATTTTTTATTTCTTTTGCTTATTTTTTATACAGTACACTTCGTTCTTTGAGTTTAATCATCACCTGGAGTCTATAATGGACAAAGCATATGTCTACAGGTGAGTTTCATTGGTAAATTTGGAGGAAGCAGAGAAAATGATGGCAGAACATTTTAGAAGGCATTTAGGAGACAATAACCACCCTGCTCAAAAACATGGGCATTTTCTATTTTGCTATATAAAACGAGTGCATATCTAAAGCAAATTGGGCTGTTTCAAGTGCACTTAGATTAAAGTGAGGAAGAAAACATATCATGCTACAGTTTAAACAATAAGAGACGAGTACACTCTTGCAAGTCAGCTCTCCATCTCTCATGACAATTTACGCCCAGCCGAAATTTCACTCATTTGCCATTGTAAACTTGTGAGTAGAAACCTTCAGTCACAGTTTATCACAGCATGAGGTCCTGTGAGCCTTTCTGATATCCTGGTAAATCAGCGTGGAGTATTTTATGGGACTCAAAATGAAGAAGTGACCCTTGAGGCATGTCTTTCACAGCGTTGACTCACACCATCTGTGCAAAGAAATGAAGACTTTCTTTACACTCCGTCAAGCCCATTCAAGACTCTGCAGGCAGACAACATGTGGTGTCACCTTCGCTTTCTACTGCACAAATGAGAGTTGACACTTAGCAAATCTAAAGCAAGAGGGCTCATTGGAAGCATAGAGAAAAAGAAAATGTTAAAATCAGCCACATTCCAGAAACAGCGTCAATGCTTACTTCTACTTATTCTCTCTGACAGAGTCATCCGAACAACTGGCTACTTGCTGTTTCTCCTGCACATTAATGCCTGTGTTTATTACTGGGCTTCAGACTATGAAGGAATTGGCTCAACTAAATGGGTCTATAATGGTGAAGGCAACAAGTGAGTTCTAATTTTAAAAGAGGCCCTTCTTTGTTCTTCTAAATTTTCAGTTTTGGTATAAGAATTTTCATAAGCCACCACTTCTCCAAGCTTTTATGAGCATATGTTAGTTGTACATAATGAGTTTTATTGTGATATCTGTTCATGAGAGTATGTGGTGTGTTTTAGCCATATTAACACTTCTCAATAACCTTGTTCATCCTCTTCCCACTCCCACTGATTGCCTTCCTCTTCCCAACTAGTTCCTCTTCTCTCTCTCTGTCTCTCTCTCTCTGTCTGTCTCTCTCTGTCTCTGTCTGTCTGTATGTATGTATGTCTCTCTCTCTCTCTCTCTCTCTCTCTCTCTCTCTCTCTCTCTCTCTGTGCATGTGTGTGTGTGTGTGCGTGTGTGTGTGTGTGTGCTTGTATTAATTTGGATCATATACAGGAGCATGAATAGGAGGTTATGGACAAATAAACAGCCTACCAGTAGCTACATCATTAAAGATGACTGTTAGTCACTGTTCACTCATAATCAATAATACCTCTCTTGTGTATAAGTATGATTTTAAGTGAAAAATAAGATAGAATAGAAACTATCAGAGAACATCGGATACAGAGCAGGTGTGTGTGTGTGTGTGTGTGTCTTTGTATATGTATGTCTGTGCGTGTGTTTGTGTCAGTATGAATGTGTGTGTATGCATGTATGTTTCTGTATGTATGTGTATGCATGTGTGTGTCTATATGTGTGTGAGTGTGTGTGCATGCATGTGAATGTAAACATGTATGTGTTCATTGTATGAATGTATGTGTCAGTTTGTGTCTCTGTGTGTGTTTGTGGGATGTTTTGTGTATGCATATGCATGTTTTTGTAATTGTAAATGTATAAATATGTTCATGTGTGGTGTATGTATGTGTAGATGTATGCATACGTGTGTCTGCATGTGTGTGTGTACATGTGTGTGAATGTGTGCATGTGTATGTGCATGTGTATATGCATGTATGTGTGTGTGTCTGTTTCTCTCCATGAGTATGTATGTGAGTGTGCGTGTGTGTGTATTCGTGCATGTGCGTATGTATGTATGTATGTATGTATGTATGTATGTATATGTATATCTGGGTGTATGAATGTGTATGTGGGGGGTGACTGTGTATCTGCTTTGTCTGTCTGTGTGTGTGTGTGTGTGTGTGTGTGTATGTTGGTAAAGATATGTGTGGTATGTTTGTATGTCTGTGTGTATGTAGGAGTGTGTGTATGCATATGTGTCATATGTGTGTGGTGTTGGTGTGTATGTGTGGGTGTGTGCATATGTATCTGAATATGTGTGTGTATGCACATGTGTGACTGTATGTTGGGGGTGTGAGAGTATCAGTGTATGTGAGTGTGGGTGTGTACATGTTTGTGTGTCTGTGTGTGTGTCGAGTGTATGTGAGGGGGTGTGTATTTGTGTTTATGGGTGTGTAAGTGTGTGTTTATGTGTGTCTGTGTCTATACATGTATCCTACGTTGATCTGTAAATGTGATGATTCTTACTCTGAATTATACTAAAAAACTTTGGGGGTAATGTAATAACTACAATGATAATTGTTAATAATGATTAATTTTAATTATTTAGAGGCAGGTGCAATAGCCAATTAGTTGATTGCTGAAGTGTTTTATGAATTTATGAGTCAGCTATAACCACCAACTGGACTAAATAGAGAATAACAAGATTCACAAATAGAATTTGACAATTAAGCAACAAGAGTCTAATGAATAAGAGAGGTAACTTGAAATTTTTAATGGAAAAAAATCAGGGTTCAATCATAACAATTTAGTTGTTTAATATCAAATTTTCCTTTCAGCAGATACAGGGACCTTGTATAACATAGACAAACTTACCTTCTGTTCTAGTGAAATGACATTAAACATATTAGAAAGCAATGTAGTCTCTAGAAAAAAAATAAGTCTTAAAAATTTTTAAAGGATAATACATAGCCACCTTGGGATGGAGAGGAAAGAGAGTAAAAATATCTCAAACATTATATACTACCCAAAGCAAGTCAGTTATGTGTAAAGAATTATAGTAGTCTTATTTTTTAGCAGCACTGATTTTCTAAATATTTTTGGTAGTTCAATATAACTACATCATCACCCCCTTCCTTTTCCTCCATCCAAACAATCCCTGATACTCCTCCTTCCTCTCTTCCAAATCATAGTCTCTTTTTATATTCATTCATTTTAGACCTGATTTATTTAAATCTTATAGTCAAAGGCCACTGACTGTAAGACACACATACACACAGAGAAAACATAGTCTTAAAAAAATCTTAAAATCAATCCTGTAAATGTATAAAAAATGAACTTAGAATGTGAGTTGATTTATGTACTTATTTTACATGAATATGAAATATGAATAATTTTATGGAAAGTTAAGATGTCACCTATATTAAGCACATTAACACCACAGTAGCTAATAGTGAAGACTGGTGATGGAAATGTTATATTAAAGGAGCAGTATATGTTAGTCAGGCTTCATCTCTCTGGAAAATATCTGAATGAGACAACTTATTGGGGAAAGAGGTTGTTTTGGGTCATAGCTTCAAAGGTGTCAGTCCAATGTAAGCAGTCTCCAATACAGTAGACTTGAGATGAGACAGAATATCAGGAAAAGCAACAGCAGGAAGCAACAGCAGGAAGTGCTTAGGGCAACAGATATCATAACATGGTTGGTACCCAGGAAGCACACTTTTTTACTGAAGAGAAATTAAAATATATATCCAAGTGGTGGAAGTACATAAGAATTTTCAGAGAAACTAGATTCACAATAATCAGAAACTTTATATAGCCAAGGAATGTATAGATCTTTTTGAAAGCTGCACTATATACATACAATAGAGACTACTTAGCAATTAGAATAAACAAATCACATGAACTCAAATAACTCTCAATAGACTACACAAAGCATACATACTTTGTGATGGTATTTGAATAAATTTGTGAAGTAAATTATTCTATTTACAACACCATCAAGTGGAATAAAAACTAAGAAGTCCAGCAGAAGTACACTGAAAACTACATCATGAAAATGAAAGCTTGTGAACAGAAGTTATTCAATAGAATGGCATCTGGGTTCATGGATTGCATGAGTGATTATTGCTCAAATGTGACCAACTCAGGGCAAACTGTCAAAATCCCAGTGAAATCTTTCCCTATCTTGCACCATCCACAAAAGTCAAGTAATTGGATTGAATACTACAAGCTATGAAACTATTAAAAGTAAGCAGAGCAAGATTGCTATGTGACCTTTCTTGGACAATAATACGTTTAATATGGCCCCTCAAACACAAAAGCAAAGGCAAATGTGTGGCTTTCCAACACACTAAAAACATTCTATGCCACAAACAAACATGGGTTTATATCACACTAAAAAATCTCTTATACTAGAAACAAAATAGTCAACAAATCAAGACTGGAGAGAATATTTACAAATCATATACATGATAATGGGTTAATATCCCAAAAGTGAGAAATTACTGCAATTTAGTACCAAAAGCTTTTAATGAACAAGGCTTTAAATGACACTTCTTGAATACAGAGAAATGGCTGATGAGAACATAAAGGGTACTCAACATCATTAATCATCAGGAAATACATATCAAAACTACAACATGGTATCGTATTGCCACAGATAGAATTGCAGTAATCAAAAAAGGGAAACAGGTGTGGGAAACACAAGAATGGAGGGAGCGAAGTGAGTGTCTCTATATGGTCAAGGACTTGGAAATCAATATAGAAAACAGAACATTGGCATCTCACATGTTTTAAATTTCTTATTAAATACGGACATTCCAACGAGTAAGATGGCAACCTCAGTATAGGTTTGAGTTGTATTTTCCTGATTGATGATATTGAGGGTTGTTATACTTTTCATTTAGATTATTTATTCAATTTTTATTTATATTATTTCTTGAGTTTCTGATATGTTTACAGAAGCAGAATTTCCAGTTTCACATTTCCTTCATGTTCAATATGAAATATTATCTTATTGTTTTAACTGGAAGCTGTGTGCTGTCATGCATTAAAAATTTATAGAGAGGCTATGTGTTAAATAAGTCAGATGGAATCTTTTTGAAAAAAATTTATCTGCCTGGGGTGTAGATATTAGAGATAGACACCCTTGACTAATTAAGCTAATCCTAGAAAATCAATATGATGCCATCTAATTAAATTACAAATCTTACCTTCGGTTGGGCATGTCTTAGTGTGTAAGACATGTCTGAGAAAAGAATCCAAAAATAAACCACAAAGCATCAGAGCAGAAAATTTTCCAATTAACATAGCATACTATTTAATATTTTAAAAGTTCAAGACTAACCCTTGAGACTTGAGAAATCAATGCCAACATTTAAGATTTAGCTGTCATTTTAACATTTATAAATAAGAAGGTGAGAGTAGGTAATACTATGTTTGTTCAAAAGTGATGTATAATAGAACTGACCACATAGGAAAAAAATCTAGCCTCTTCCCGCTCTTCAGAGGTATTAAATTTTACAAGTTTCTTTATTTTAAAGAAAGCAACAGGTTGAGAACCTGTAACCAAAATAAATTAAGTGATGGGATGCTTAAAATTGGGACTTGAAAAGTTAAAATGCACCCATAAATTTACTTTTGTGCTTTGCTTCTTTGAAATCAAGTCTACCATTATAAGCTAAAGCCTTCTGGACATTTACTCAGTGATAGTTTTGCTGTCTTGGTATGTGACTCTAAACTCTCCAAAAAAAAAAGTTAGTGGGGTCTTTGTTACTAGTTTTGTTGTGGTGGTTAGCCCTGTATCTATGAGGTTAAAAATATCCCGCATCCTACATGCCCTGCTTAGTTGATTCTGTGGACTCACAGAGACTGGAGTGACAATGAGAGAGCCTGTATGGATCTGAGCTAGGTCATCTACAGATATGTTACAGTTGGGTAGCTTGGTGTTCCTGTGGAACTCCTAACTTCTAACAGAGGAGGCAATGTCTCTGACTCTTCCGCCTATTTTGAGACCCCTGTCTTCTTACTGGGTTACCTCATCTAGCCTTGATATGAGATTATGTCCTTGGTCTGATTGTAACTTGACATGCCATGTTCAATCAATATCCCTGTACTTTTTGAAGGGAAATGGAGGAGGAGCAGATCTAGGGGAGAGTATAGGTGGGGGAGAGACTGGGAAAAGTGGCAGGAAGGGACACTGCTGTTGGGATATAATATAAGAGAGAAGAAAAAATCCCATATCCTTTAAAATATATTTAATTTGAAAATTATTTACTTACAGATTTTATTTTATTGAGTAATAAATTCGACAACAGCATGTTTCGTTCTTTCTAAAACTCCATTTCATGATATTGAAAACAATTACTCTTGTTCACAAACTAATACAGTCATAAAGATGTAAAGTGTTCCTGCTCTGTGTGACACAGTAGAACAAAAAATACAACCTGTTTTTAACTTATTATTACAAGCTATTAGAAGGCATGCTTGCACACACATGGAGGTCAGAACACAACTTTGTGGAGTTACTTCTCTCCTACCTTTACCTGAAATCCAAGGCTTGAACTCAGGTTGTAAGACCTATGAAAGAAGGACTTCTCCCACCAATCAATTTCTTGAACCCCATCCCCCAGAATATTTTAATTTCATATTTTAATTGGCCTATAAAGGAGCAGTTTTCCTTGTGGGATTTTTGAACGCACTTCATTTTGGTTGGTTTTACATTCACCCTCCTCTTTGTCATTTTCCTGTCCCTCCCCCTCACTGAACCTTTATGTCCCCAATATTTCCACTTTATTATTTCATATGTTCTATTGCCTTCACCAACGGTCTCATTAAAGACTCCTCTCCATTTCATTGATGGCTTTCTAATATCCCAGTATTTACTATCATTTACACCACCTAGGTCTGCATATGAGAGAACATTTGTCTTTCTGACCTTTATTTTACCTCTTTACTTAATTTAATGTTTTCCAGTTCAACTCATTTTTTAATTTCATAACTAACTTTTCTTTATGACTGAAAAAAATTTAACTGCATGTTGTATATTTTCCTAATCCATTCGTCGACTAGTAGAAGTCCAAGCTTATGTAGCTTCCTGTCTGTTGCATATAGTGCAGCACTGAGCAGGGATGTGTATGACAGTCTATGTAGTAGGATACAAAATCCTTTGGGAATCTATCCAGGAGTAATACAACTGAGTCATTTAGTACTTCTATTTTATAAATAGAAACTTAACTAAAGCAGAATTCTGTAAAAAGTTCTAATCTACCATGAACACCTGAAACAGAAAAAAACATTTAAAAAACCTAATTGAGAACCACTGAGTCCATTGCCTATCTATAAAATATTTAGATATTTAAATTTACTTTTATTAATTCCTTGAGAATTTTATACAATGTACTGTGGTCGTTACGCATCTGTCACTCCTTTTTCTAACTCCTCACATACTTGACTGACCTCCCTACCACTCCAAATTTAACATCTTAAAAAGAAATTAGGACTCCAGTTTGTGTTACAAGTATATTCCTGTGTGTGAGACCATCCATTAAACTATTGTCTGTCTAACATGATGCACACACTTAAGCAAAAGTGACTGTCTTTCCCCCAGAAGCCATCCACTGTCCACAACTCTTGAGTAGAGGTGGATCTCTCCAATTCCTTCTCATTCTCTATCAACTAAAGGGTTAGCTGGCTTGATCTTGTGCAGGTGTTATGAGGACATCCACAGCTGCTGAGAACACAAGAGCTCAGCCATCCTGTCCTGTCCAAGAGTCACTGTTTTGTTCTAGTCTCCAACACCTGAGTCTTACAGTCTTTCTTTCCCCCTTCCATATGTAAGAAGTTTTTTAAGGATACAGTAGGAATGCCTGACATAGGCTATGTTATCAGAGCCAAGTAGTTTTATTTGGTGTTCTAAAGTTCTAGATAAATTATCTACCCCATCCAAAAATGGTTTCCCTACTTAGAAAAGTACACTTATTTCTTTTCACATTTGCATATTAAGTAACATAATAAAATATATAGAGATGGGGTCCCCATGCCCACTGATGATTTCTGTTCTCTCTCCTCTGATTTCCCTACACCTGATCCCCATGCCCTTTTCCCATCCCTATCCCCTCTCCCATCCAGGTCATTCCCTTCATCTTCCCCCAATATCTATTTAATTTTGCTTTCTAAGAAAGAATCAAGCATCCTCCCTTAGGACCTTGTTATTTGGCTTCTTTGGATCTGTGTATTGTAGCATGGTTGTCCTGTACTTTATAGCTAATATTCATTTATAAGTGAGTACATACATACGTGTCCTTCCGGATCTGGTTATCTCACTCAGGATGATATCTTCTAGTTCCATCCATCTGCCTGCAAAACTCATTAGGTTCTTGGTTTTAATAGTATTTTAATAGTAATGAGGTGATATCAAGGGGGCCTCCCCATTCTCAGAGGAAAAGTGGAGGGGGTAATGAGGGGAGTTGTGTGATGGGGACTGGAAGGATGGGGGACTGATATAGGGATATAAAGTGAATAAAAATAAATGGGAATATATTTAGAAAAGTTAGTGAGCATATTTATGTGTTCTGTTTTTCATTTCTGGAAACAATTAGATCTAAATTATAAAGAGTTATTAACATTCTCCACATGTTTCTAGCTTGGTAACTAAAGTTTTATTACATTTATTTGTTTTAGAAGGGTTGAGAGCACAGTGTGCAGGTGGGGTTCTCCTTTTCTGATGTGCATTCGCAGTTATTGAACTCATGTTATCAGGCTTGTTGGCAAGTATCTTTACCTGCTGAGCCATCTCATCAGCCCTGGTTTAGCAGTTTAAAGATGACCTCAAATTCTTTGCTGTCACCGTCATTAAGAGATGGAGCCTAATATATCTTCTAATTAATTCAAGCTAGTACTAGGGATTTACTTGACAAACAGAACAAGGCAGGAGATTACGATAGTATGCGGTTTCAGGATTATAAGATCCTCTTAAGCTACATATTAGGCTATGATCAACCTAGAGAAAGCAGTTGCCATTAAGAGGTCCATGAACTTATATATTATGCTTTGATTTTTATGTTCTTATGGTGTGTGTATGCGGTGGGGGGGGTCTTCATGTGTTTGTATTTCTGAATCTTTCTCTTTGTTTTTGTTTTGTTTCGTGTTGTGTTATTTGTTTCTCTGTCTCTTTCCTTTGTTTTCTTTTGGTTTGTTTGTTGGTTGGTCTGTTAGTTTCTAAAAAAAGACAGAGAGACAAGGTATGGAGTTGGGTGGGTGAAGACGTGGGGAAGATCTGTAAGGAGACAAAGGCAAAGTGTATAGGGGAAAATTATTTTGCAACTGAAAAAAATCCATGTATGTTGAGACAGAGAGTGTGCGAGGAAGCACAGTCTAGTCTCATTAGGAAGATAAATAGAAAAATATCTTTCTATTGGTATGCCCTACCAACTAGACTAGGCTTAGACATGTAAGGAAAGGACACACCTTGGGCATTCCAAGAAGGGATTATATGGAGAAAAACATGAGTACCAAGCCAACAGTAAGATTCAAGTGACAAAGTAGATGGCCTTAAACACAATTCCCAGATGTCTGCAAATATCCAAGTTGCTCAAAATTGCTCATTCATTGTGGAACATCGAGAGTGAATCTGTGCTAGGTTTTGTACAAATCTCTCACCCAAGAAACAGAAGCCTGATAAAACAGTCCACCAAATTTCGGAAATAGCTAGTAAATACCCTCCTCGTGTCCAAGTGTTTAGTCATTTCCTAATGTTTATTAAGATGTCTAAGTAGCACATGTATTCTCAGTTCCTGCATACATGAACTGTGTGTGTGAGCAAATGGTGTTACAATGGTATGTACAAGAGATTCTCTACATTTCTTCTTACAGATATCTGCGATGTTTCTATTGGGCAGTTCGAACTTTAATTACTATTGGGGGCCTACCAGAGCCACAAACATCATTTGAAATTGTTTTTCAACTCTTGAATTTTTTCTCTGGAGTTTTTGTATTCTCCAGCTTAATTGGTCAGGTAAGCTGACAATGTATCCCTATCTACAAAGTATGATCATTTTTAAAAGATTAACAAATATTTATAAATTTTATGAAAGAAATATTGAAATCTGTGGTCCTTTTGCTCCTTTTTCTTCCTTGATTTGATACCTTTCACCTATTTAATGGTGTGGAATAGCATGTACTTGAGTCAACATTACAACATTGACTTTTAGTGAGGTAACAGTCTTGCTACTTAGTTTAGGCCAGCCTCAAACTTATGGTCCTCTTTCCTCTCATTGAAAAATCAATTCAAATTCTTACTGCTACAATTACATATAAGTGCCACCTTACCCAGATGGCTTTCCTTTTGGGGCATTAAATCTTCCAGAAGACCTGCCAGCCAATTTCGTTAGGATATAAACCCTTTGAATTTACAGTAAAAACATTATAATTCATAATACATAATGGAGTCTAGACCCAGGTGTTTCAAAGAGCATGTATTCTTGCATAATGTGCTGCAAAGTGGGCCTGTGATGTATCAGAACCAAGGCTACAGTGAAGTTATGCAAGACAGCCTGGGCAAACTCTACCAGAAACAGTTCATACTCATTAGATATTTTATTCAATTAATTTTTGGTTGATATGAATTCAGAAAATATTTATTGACTTGATTTTGCAGCCCCCACATTCAGTTATCCAAGTCCATATAAGGCTATAATGCATGATTTAAGAATTCAAACTATATCACAAAATCAATAAACCCACTAGAAAAGCTATTGTTTGCTAACACATTCACTGCAATATGGATAAAATTCATTCTGTAACAATAAGAACTACTTATCATGATATTTGATACTACTAAAAAATTGTCAAAACTCAAATAGTGCATCAATTAATGTTAAGTGTCTGCTAAACATGGCATATGGCAGAGGAGTTCAGAAGCTGTCTTCTGTTCAGTAAAGGGAAGCCTCTCAGGTTCTGTGGAACAGATGCATATGAGGCGTTTTCAGGAGCCAGGTAGTATCCAAATATCATCAACAAGCAGTTCTGTTGATTATAATCTGTTATGAAAATATGTCAGTAGTAAAGAATGAAATGTGTTTGAGATTCAAACAGCACTGACAAGACAAAGGGCTTTTGGAAGTAAGAAGCAAATTCAAGAATGAAATATTTTAAGAATTCTGAATATTAAATCTGAGTTTTGCCTTGAAAGCAATGGGAAGCAAGCTCAGGAAGGGCATTGAACAAGGAGATTCAATGTTAATTATAATATAAACTAAATAGGACCAGCATTTTTAAATATGTGTTTTTAAAGATTTATTTAATGTATACGAGTACACTCTAACTACCTTAAACACACCAGAAGATGACATCAGATCCCATTACAGATGGTTGTGAGCTACCATATTATTGCTGGGAATTGAACTCAGTACCTCCAGAAGATTAGCTAGTGCTTTTAACCATTGAGCCCTAAATATGTGTTTATTATTGCTTAGGTGTAGTAACTAGCAGATTAAGGACAACTGCTATTGGAAATTTGTCATAGGTCTTAAAAGAAGGAGCATTCCATACAATAAAGATAAGGATGTTGAACAAAATAATGAATTATTGGTAGGGGAGGCGCTACAGCTGGGTAAGCATCAAAGTTAGCTAATTCTGGTAATTTCATCAAGCTTTGAGATGTAAGTTTATTGTTTATTGTTCTGGTTCCTAGTGCTATCCTATAGAACATATAGATAGGGAGACTATATAATGGCTATATAAAGAGTAAGAATTTTGGATTAATTAACATGAATTATGAAAAGCACTCTCAGGAGAGAGTCTCAGACACTGCATGACTATCTGTCAGAAATTGGCTACGGCTAGGAGGAGCAAGCAAGTTTCCAAATACAAACACATAACAATATAGACAATAGATAGTCAATGCACAAGGGCATGTCATCTTCAGCTTAGATGTGTTACTGGACTAGAAAGGAAAGTTGGAAAGACAACTCCATTGAGAAAACATTTAGGTATTGGAAAATGAATTTCAAGAAATTAAACATTGTAGGTATAAACTATCACATCAATGGATGGAGAAATTTACTAACAGTTGAAATATAAAACTAGTTGGAAATTTTTTCAATTTAAATTAAAATGCAATAAAATAGCAAAAAATATACATTATGTCATAATGTACCATAATCCACCTGGGGTACATTCACTGTTTTCCCATATTTACAAATGAGGAAACTCAAATTTAAAAAGATTAAGAGGTTGAGCAGGATGTGGTGACACATACCTTTAATCCCAGAATATGAAAGGCAGAGTCAAGATTTCTATGAGTTTGAGGTCACTCTGGTCTACATACTGAGTTTCAGGACAGACAGAGCAACATAGTGACACTTTGTCTCAAAAAGAGACAAGATGAAAAGCCATTGCAATTCATATTTTGAATTCAGACTGTCTTTGAATAGAGCAATATGTGATTAAATGGACAGTTAGAGTAAAATCCAGTGCATATTGAGCACTTGGTATGTGCAAAGCAATTTTCAAAAGACTAGAAAATGATATCTCTGTCCTGTGATCTGAGCACTTGGGAAGCAAAAGAAAGAGGGAGGGGAAAAATCAAAGCCAGTCTAGTCTATGTAGCAAATTCGAGCTCAGCCTGGACTGTATTGATAGAATCTGCCTCAAAATCAGTAAAGAGAGAAAAATGAAAATGATGTCTGCCCAGCCTGAGTGCAATGTTTTCCCTGGACAGCCACAGCTACGTTACCTGAGAAAGTCTAAACTTGAACTCTACTTTAGTCCTACTGATGTAGACTACATACACAGCATACATCTTAAAAAGTCTTTTGGTGATTCTTCTTTTTAATTATTAATTAATTAATTAATTAATTAGCATCCTAAATACTGTTCTCCTCCATTCCCCCTCCCCTTCTTCTCTGATCTGGTGGCCCTCGTCCTGGGTTTCCCCACACCCTGGTGCATCAAGTCTCTGCAAGATTAGGCTTATCCTCTCCCACTAAAGCTAGACAAGGCAGCCTTCTGTTACATGTATGTTGGGGGCCTTTGACCAGCCTATGTATTCTCTTTGGTTGATGGCTCTGTCTTTGGGAGCTCCCAGGAGTCCAAGTTAGTTGATCATGATGGTCTTCCTGTGGGGGTGCCATCCCCTTCAGAGTCTTCAATCTTACCCCTAACTCTTTCATAGGAGTCCCTGACCTCCATCCAATGTTTGTCTGTGGGTATCTACATCTGTCTCAATCAGCTTCTGGGTAGAGCCTCTCAGGGGACAGCTATAGTAGTAGGCTCCAATCTACATGCACAACATAGCATTACTAATAGTGTCAGGAATTGGTGCCTGCCTGTGGGATGGGACTCAAGTTGGGCTAGTCACTGGTCTGCCACTCCTTGAGAGCATATATGTTGGGGTCCTTAGACCAGCCCATGCAAGCTCTTTGGTTGATGGCTCAGTCTCTGTGAGACTCTGCTCCAACTTTGTCCCTTCATTTCTTTTATACAGGACCAATTTTTGGTCAAAAGTTTTGTAGGTGGGTTACTGTACCCATCCCTCCTCTGGAAGTCCTGTCTGGCTACTGGAGATGGTTTCTTTTTCTTTTTTCTTTTTTTTTAAAGATTTATTTATTTATTTATTTATTTATTTATTTATTTATTTTATGCATATGAATACACCACCATTGCTCTCTTCAGACACACCAGAAGAGGGCACCAGACCCCATTACAGATGGTTGTGAGCCACCATGTGGTTGCTGGAATTGAACTCAGGACCTCTGGAAGAGCAGTCGGTGCTCTTAACTGCTGAGCCATCTCTCCAGCCCTGGAGATGGTTTCTTTAGGTTCCATATACTGGTGGGCATTTTGGCTAGGTCACCCACATTGATTCCTGGGAGCTTCCCCCATCCCAGGTCTCAGGGACTTCCTAGATATTCCTCTGAGCCCCCATCTCAACCTCCAGCAGCTGCATATTTCCATTCATTCTCCTTGCCTTCTAGTCTTCTCTCTTGTCTCTTTCCATACCTGATTCTGCCCACCTATTCCCCTTGCACTCCCCTCTCCCACCAGGCTCCTCCCTCCCTCTGTTTCTCAAGACTATTTTGTTCCCCCTTCTAAGTGGTACTCAAGCATCCTCACTTGCGCCTTCTTTCTTGTTTAACTGTTTTGGGCCTGAAGCGTGTATCTTGGATATTCTGTACTTTTTGGCTAATATTCATTTATCAGTGAGTACATATCATGCATGTCCTTTTGCTTCTGGGTTACCTCACTAAGGATGATATTTTCCAGTTCCATCCATTTGTGCGCAAAATTCATGAAGTTCATTTTTAATAGCTGAATATTATTCCATTGTATAAATGAACCACATTTTCTGTCTACATTCTTTAGTTGATGGACATCTGAATTGCTTCCACTTCTGGCTATTATGAATAAAGCTGCCATGAACATAGTGGAGCACATGTCCTTATGGTATGGTAGAGTATATTTTTGGGTATATGCCCAGGAGCAGTATAGCTGGGTCTTCAGGTAAAACTATTTCCAGTTTCTTCATAAACCACTAGATTGATTTCCAGAATGGTTGTACAAGTTTGCAATCCCACTGGCAATGGAGGAGTGTTCCCCTTGCTCCGCACCCTCTCCAACATGTGCTGTCAATTGAGTTTTTGAATGTTTCTTTAAGTCCTTATCAGCCATTAGAGATTCCTCTGTTGAAAATTCTCTGTTTAGATGTAGATCCTATTTTTAAATGGGTTATTTGGTTTGTTGATGTCTAATTTTCTGAATTTTTTATATATTTTGGATATTAGCCCTCTTTCAGATGTAGGGTTAGTGAAGATCTTTTCCCCATCTGTAGGTTGACATTTTGTCCTATTGACAGTGTCCTTTGCCTTACAGAAGTTTTTCAGTTTCATGTGGTACCATTTATCAATTGTTAATGTTAGAGTCTGAGCCATTGGTGTTCTGTTCAGGAAACTTCCTCCTATGCCAGTGATTAAAGGCTGCTTCCCATTTTTTCTTATATTAGATTCAGTATATTCAGCTTTATGTTGGGGTCCTTGAGCCACTTGGACTTGGGTTTTATGTAGGGTAATAAATATGGATCTATTTGCATTCTTCTACATGCAGACTGCCAGTTAGATCAGCATCATTTGTTGAAGATACTTTCTTTTTTTCCATTGTATAGTTTAGACTTCTTTGTCAATAATCAAGTGGGTTTATTTCTGGGTCTTTGAATATATTCCATTGATTCTGCACCAATACTATGTAGTCTGTTTTTGCACCAATACTATGCAGCTTTTATTACTATTGCTTTATAGTACAGCTTGATGTCAGGGATGGTGATTCCTCCAGAAGTTCTTTTATTGCCAGGATTATTTGGCTATTATGGGTTTTGTGTTTTTCCATATGAAGTTGAGAAGTGTTCTTTTAAGATCTATAAAACATTGTGTTGGAATTTTGATGGGATTGCATTGAATCTGTAGATTGCTTTCAGTAAGATGGCCATATGTACTATGTTAATCCTGCTGTCCCATTGACCATGGGAGATCGTTCCATCTTCTGGGGTTTCCTTCAATTTCTTTCTTCAGGGACTTGAAGTTTTGTCATACAGATCTTTCACTTGCTTGGTTAAAGTTACATCAAGATATTTTATATTATTTGTGGCTATTGTGAAAGACACTATTTCCCTAATTTCTTTCTCAGCCTGTTTATCATTTGTATAAAAGACGGCTAGTGATTTTTTTTGAGTTAAGTTTGTAGTCAATCACTATGCTAAAAGTGTTTATCAGCTGTAGAAATTCTCTGGTAAAATTTTTTGGTCACTTATGTTTACTATTGTATCATCTGCAAATAGCTGTTCTTTGACTTATTCCTTTCTACCGTGTATCCCCTTGATCTCCTTTAGTAGTCATATTGCTCTAGTTAAGAACTTCAATTTTATATTCAGCCACGTTGCTGGGGTGGTTTACAGTTGTAAGAGTCCCCTTCATTTGAAAGTCTTAGAGAGATAGGGATTCAACAGATATACATAAACATAATAAAAGCAATATGCAGCAAACCAATAGCAGATAGCAAATTTAATGGGGAGAGACTTGAGGCAATCCCTCCAAAATCAGGGACAAGACAAAGTTCTCCACTTTCTTCCTATCTGTTCAATATAGTACTTGAAGTTTTAGCTAGCATAATAAGACAACAAAAGGAGATGCAAATTGGAAAGGAAGAAGTCAAGGTATCACTATTTGTGGATTGTATCAGAGAATACATAAGCAACCCCCACAATTCTATCAGAGAACTCCTATGGCTGACAAATAGCTTCAGCAAATTAACTTACAAAAATCAGTAGCCCTCCTTCTGGTGATTCTTATGCATGTGAAAATCTAACAGATATAGTGTACTTGCCTTTCAAGTTGCATTTGAAGATGTAACCTTGGCTAGCAACACCTGAAACTGTGGTACTGATATAGAAGAGAGAGATTAACGCTACAGATAAAGACTTGTGACAAACTCTCAGAGTGATTAAAAGATGCTTTAAAGGAAAACAGAAAAAAAAGTAAGAGCGCCTCAAACATAATTGCCATGTATTTGAAATCTATACATATGGTCATACCAGTGACTGTGCCTCAAATTAACCATCATTGTTTACTCCTGAATTCTAATTTCTGCTATAATCCACAAACTCTGATATTTTCTAACTCTATAACCATCATATGCTTTCCTAGACTGGAAATCATTGTGAAATACATATTATCCTCAATTTCTACATCAATGAAACCCAACACTGGTGAAGGATAGAACATAAGATGTTCAGATGAATATACTACAAATCCTTTGACCTTCAAAACGATCTAATAATGTTTAACTTTGTCCTTGAAACCTGGCTAACACCCTTGTTAAATCTCTCAACACTACCTCTGATAAACCATGCCTGACAGCCTTCAAACACTGAATAATGCTGTTTGTGGCACATGAACATGGAAAGAAAAGATCTAGGTATTGAGACCATGGAAAAATATTTGGAGTGCCATTGAAGAATAAGAACCTCTGAAAGATGGACATTAAGAAGTGTCTATAGAGCTCTTTGCAAATACTTTGAAGAAGTAGTAGATTCTATTACCTCTAAAACTGTAAATTGAGGAAGCCATCACAATGTAAGGCATTTGAGCTATATTTTTTAAAACATCAAGAGGGTTTTTTTTTCATAAGCAGAAAAGACTTCACAGCTACTAGAATGAATGAGCAAAGTATTGGTGAGACCTGGCTTTTCTCCTATAATAAACTCACAGTCAAGGCAAATTTATAACCACTTGCATCTCTCTATGTGAGAGGAAGAGCCAAGCAATATATCTTTTTTGTGCTGAGACCTTAAAGATCAGCTTTTAACCTAGAGTGGGTTTTTATAGCTGAGTTATAAACATCCGAGAACTAAACCTGACAGTTCCTTAAGGACCGTCACAGCGGCAGACAACGCTTCAGTAATTTCAGCACATTTCAACTTCTGCTGAATACTGTGCCTTGAGCATGGTACGATTTGATTTCATCTGTCTAAATAACACAAAGGGAAGAACAGAGGCTGGAACTGCATGACGAGTTAAGCCTATAGAGGCAAGCACCCTGGCTCATCTGTGAAAGGTACTTTAGCAGAGAGACTCTCAAACCCGACTAGCCATTCTGCAGGATAATTGCTCATCTCTCATTACACTTCCCTTGCATCTGTGCAGGGATTATGGTTGCTTTAAAATGTCAACTACCATTTTTACAGTAATTTATAAGTATATGAAGATTGTGTGCAGTCACCTGCATTATGAGACAAAAGCCTCACAAAAATCTCACATTATTGGTCTAGTGGGCCTTATTATTATCAGCGAGATAATCTCATTTCCAACCTTTTATTAGAACCTGATGTCGGTGTGTTAAAATCAAGCAATCAGGGCAATAGACAGGGATATTGTGTAAGGACAAGCAATTCAGACGGAATTTCTCTCCTGGGTGTGAATAACCATATTTATGGTTTTAGATGCGTGATGTAATTGGGGCAGCAACAGCCAATCGGAACAACTTCCAAGTCTGCACGGACCATATCATTGCCTACATGAACAAATACTCTATTCCTCAAAGTGTTCAGTATCGAGTTCGGACTTGGCTGGAATATACATGGAACTCGCAAAGAATCCTAGGTGAGCATGACCAATAATTGCTTATATTCCTGTAAACTTATGTAAGATAAAAGAGGAGATCTTTGGATTTGAATAACAGGTTGAAAAACAAGTGTTCTCCCCAGCATTAATTTAACATGAATAAATTTTTCTTAAATTTAGAGCCATATTTCAGTGGAAGTCTTAGAAGAAAATGGTGAAATTTTGCTCAATGCCTACCAGGTGCTAGAAATTACACAGTTTTCCTCTCTCTTTCAGACACACACACACGCACACCCATACACACATGCATATACACACATATACACACACACACAGGTACAGGCAGCATACATACATATTTACATGCAAACAGGTACACACATTCTACACACAGAACCAAACACATATACAAACCTGGACACATAGAATCACACACACACACACAACACATACATGCATGTCACACACACACATCACACACACACAAACTGGAGAAATTAAGTGTCATTGACTCCTTTTCAGAGGCAAAGAAACAATTGAAGCTCCAAATACTTAATTTGGTCAAAGACAAGCTGAGCTATGAATTTGTTGTCCAAACTCTTGTTCTGCCTGTGACAGCTCCTCTCCTCAGGAGCACAGTGTGCAGAGAAAGCTCAGGTTTTCAGACCATTTTCACTACACAGCATGGTTTTCATTTAGTTCTAAGAGACCATTATTTATCAATATTGTCTGCTCAAAAAATAATTTTTAGTAAAGCATCTAAACTAAGTTATGGCCTAGTTGACAATAAATTTAATTTTTAGCTTTTTTTTCTGTAAAAAATAAGAATTAATATTACTGAGAAGTCAACAAAAAGCTACTTCCTTCAGTGAAAAAAACAATATTTTCAAGTCACAATTTTTCCTAAGAGAAAAAAAAGTGTCTACTGGTTCTGGTTATAGGACTTTGCTTCACAGTCTGCCACTGGTAAGGAACAACAACCCCCAGAATGCACAGAGCACCATGACCCTCCTTTGTACACTTGAGAGCAATTGTATAGGGGCAAGGAAACGGCAAGGAGTGGCTCTTGGTAGCTGTTACAGGCACAGATCAACTCTGGCTTACTTAGACAAATAGCTTTCAGAAATAAGAAATGTATTTAATTTTATTTTGATTCACTTTATGTGTAAGGACCTGCATGTGTTTATGTACAATGCATGTATGCCTGGTGCCTGCATTGGCCATAAAATGGCTTCAAATCCCCTAGAACTGGAGTTACAGATGGATGTGGGCCAACATATGGGTACTGGGAACTGAACTTAGGTCTTCTGCAAGAGTAGAAAGCTCTTACTACTCCTTACTACCGAATCACCACTCTAGCCCCCAAATTATGTTTTTATATGAAAGATGGCTATATTTATGATCTATGTTGGAGTCAAATTAACAATGTAGCACAATAATTTTTCTTATTTACTTAAGTAGATGTAAGAAGATATCCAAAATAAATATCGAATGAATAGATATCCCAATACAGAATGAATAGATATCCAGAATGAATACAGAGGTATATATATGAAAGCCTAGCACTTTGAAGACAGAGGCAAGTAAGTCTGTAAGTTTAAGGCTAGCTGGTCCACATTACAAGTTCCAGGCCAGACAGGGCTATATACTGAGACTCTGTCTTAAAGGTTGCAAATAAATCTTTAAAATGAGAGGGGGGAGGATGGAGAGAGAGAATAATCTAGATAATGCAACTTCATGAACCCTGAGCATACCTGATAGTAAGAATGGGCAATTTGGTTTGTGAAATATTTTGTCAGTCTGCTGGTTCACCATTTAATTCACGTGTTAAAAATATCCATAATGTATTCAGTTTCATTTCTGGGTTAATAAGCAACTAAATAACAATAATTTAAATTTACTCACTTAACACATTTCTTCATTAGATTATATTCCCAGCTGAGATGCCTACTAATTATTCTTAACCCAGCAAGTTGCTTATAGCCTCTCTGAGTTTAAATTCTTCTATTCTCCTATCTGCAAAGTAGAAACAAATTACTGGTCCTAGGATTATTATAAAGGTCAAATAAAATAATAGACATGACAGACATCCATATGCCTTCAAATACCCCACCACTCATTATTTGCCATCCTTAAGCTGATGGGACTGGCAGAAACAAGAACTAAATCATGTTTCCATCTTAGCCTGTTCACTAACATTTATCTCACAGACATTATATTTAATGTCTTAAAATTTCTAAAAACAATGCTCTGGAATATTCATTTTGCCGTTTATAGTTAAAATACTTCTTTGCTCTCATGAACAAAAGAGCACCATTGTGAAGTATGAAGGGCCTGGTATGTAATTGCCTGTAATTCCAGCATTTGGGAGGCCCCAGTGTGAGGGGAAAATGCTGTAAGGCCAACCTGGGCTACAATGCAAAACCTTGTCTCTTAAAAGAAGAGAGGGACACATTTGAAACGCCAATGCAAAGAAGGTAAAGGAGGATCACTAGAACCTGTTGGTGATCCAAACTAGACAGAGTTCCAAGATCAATGAGAACCTCTATCTCAAAAGTGGAGAGTGGAGAGTAATTGAGGAAGAGCCCAGGTGTCTTCTTCTAGCCTCCATACAAGCACACATGGCACATGAACACACATGAACTAAAAACACACGTGCACATGAGCATACACACACACAGCCTTGATGGTGGGTATGTAGACCTAATATTCACAAGATATACTTGTTTAAAAAAAAAAACACTTGCATGTTGTTCATTTTCAATTATTTTTCTACTTACTCTTTGGTGAATTGTTTTACTAATTATTCAACTTTGGAGATTGATGTATTTATTTTTACAAAGATGAGTCCGACTTGCTTGAGAACCTCCCGACAGTGATGCAGTTGTCTATCGCCATCGACATAAACTTTAGTATCATCAACAAAGTGGAGTTGTTCAAGGCAAGTATTTTTAGAATTAATAGAAAGATACAATATCAATTTCTCCAAAAAAATCTAAGTTCTTGTTTTATATGGAATTTGTGAGTTTTTTCTCATCTTTCCATTTTTATTGTATTTTATTAATTTATTTCTTTTGTGTGTTCGTGTGGCAGATTTAAAAGAATACACATGTGCTAAGATGTGCATGCAATTATCAAAGGAAAACTTATAAGAGTCAGTGGGTCAAGCTGAGGTCAACAGACTTGGCAGTAGGTGCCTTCACCTGCTGAGTCATCTCACTGGTCCTGCCTTATGCTTTAACAAAGTTAAAATACCCTGGACAATTTATAAGAATCAGAAAGATTATGGGTCCCCATTCAACAGACAATTTGCTCTTTAGAAGTCTCTCTTTTCTAATTAGTGTCAAGAAAGAGGAGTTATTCAGAAAAGTTCTTCAGACTCTTCTAGCATAAATTTAAATTTAATTAAACTCCACTGTTCTGTCTTTACTAACAAGAGCATCACCTTCCATTAAGAACATGCCTTGGCAACATATGATGAACGAAGTTCCCAGATCAGCTCAGTATTGACCTACTCATGTAACTATTACTAATGTTTTAGATGTAGCTTTCGTTCTTTAAGGAAAATTATTTCAATATAGCATTGGTCTGCCTAGAATCTGCAATATTAAAAGTAAACCAACTCTAGTATGGTTTGGATGGTGGCATCATCACCAAAATTTATGCTGAAATTCAATTCCTGTATTAAGAAACGAAGGGCTAGTAACTGAGTCATGAAATCTCTATCTTCTTGCTGATTGTCTTTTTCTAGGGAGGCATGGATGTTTATTCACTCCAGACAGAGCAATAATGACAAAATAATTCTGCTCAAGTAAAGCAGTGAGTGTGTAAGATCTGCCTACAGAAGCATTGGTCTCAGGAGTTACCTACGGAAACATGGGTAACTCAGAGGCATGGCAGGAAAGCCCAGCCCAGCATCAGTGATGACTCAAAAAAAAAGCTATCTTTGGAGCTCCCTGCCTAGCTTTGAAGCAGCTCCCCTTCCCCAGTAACTGCTTACTGCTTATGTAGCCTTACAGACAGGCCTTGTGAAGCTGGCAACTTTCTGAACTTCCTAGGTTTTAAAAGTTCTGTGAGTCTCATAAATTTCATTACCTTCTTATGAGTACCTTCTTCTCTCAAGGAGAGACTGTCTGAATTCGGGGGAAAGAGCTACATATCTCCTGAATATGAATGCACCAACAGACTAAGATGTGTTAGTTTGGAGTGATAAAAGTACTGCCTGGAAATGTCATGTAAATAATTTGATTTCCAAATCTTCTGTTCCTGGGAGAGGTTCATGTTAGAACAATAGTTTAAACCTCTCCATATACTGATGTATTTTAAGCCATGGCATACATATGAACACCAAATTTCAGCAACGATAGAAAAGAAAATGTAATCCATGAAGAAGTACATGACTTGAAATACATAATTGCCACCACTGGACTATAGACGAAAAAAACGAAGCTGTGTGGTAGACTGTTAGGCAAAGCTCCTCCAAATCCTGAGCCAACCACTGGCTTACTCCTCATGCTACTAGAAGCAAGTCAATATCCAAGAAATCTTGATTTTGTGCTTATCAGATTTTCACCAGGATTTTGATAAAAGTATAAAAGGTATGATATTCGTGTTGCCAGAAGACATAAAACAGAAAAGAAAATAATCTTAATTGTGCTGATTATAAATGTTTAAATTAAATATTTTTAGACAGTGGATAAAGCCAAATTAACAGCAACAAGTAGGAAAGTAAAGTATTTCAATGTTTAGAAGAATGCTAGTTCTTTAAGAATTCTTTTTAGACCTAGGATCTTTACTGACTTCAAACTCTGCAAACCACTGTTATAGATGAGATTTCTCTAAATTTTTACCTAATATAGGTTTTGCTAATTAAACTACATGAAGTCTAACATAACATGTCATGAATAATAAGTTTTAAGAGTGACACTGAATTCAAATATTGTCTTCAGCTAACTGTGAGAACCGGGATTGAGTAATAGGCCAACTGACAAGACAGAAATCTGATCAACAATTGCTTCTAGAGGGAACTAAGGAGTGGAGATATCAAAAAGGAATTTGTCTGTAGGACTGAGTACACAGGACAGTTTTGGCCCCCAAACAGCTATGAGATCCCTGCAGTTTTAAGCAGTTAACAACTGCTATAGGGAGGAAGACTACTTAGAGTTGGTATGCTTGATCCTATGCAATGACTCAACTAAGTGCTTCCCCAAGTAGCACAGTTCAATTCTGGACCTGAGATCGATGTATCCTCCCTTGACCCCTCCTCTTTACCTACCTCTCTGCATCTACATATTATACCTGGGCTATCATTTACTTAATGTCTAATATCCACTTATAAGTAAGAACATACCATATGTGTCTTTCTGGGTCTGGGCTATCTCACTCAGGATAATGTTTTCTAGTTCCATCCCTTTGTTGCAAATTTCATGAAGTTATTTTTGAAAACAACAGTAAATACTTCATTGTGTAAATGTACCATAGTTTGTTTATCCATTGTTTTCTGTTAAGGGACATCTAAGTTATTTTCTTTCTGGCTATTATGAATTAAGCTGCAATGAACATGGTTGAGGAACTGCCCTTGTGGTAGACTGGAGCATCCTTTGGATATATGCCAAGAGTGGTATGCTTGGGTTTTGAGGTAAATCGATTCCCTGTTTTGAGAGGAATGCGATATTGATTTCCATAGTGGTCATATAGGTTTGCACTCCTACCAGTAGTGGAGGGGTGCTCTTCTTGCCCCATATCCTTGCCAACATGAAGTGTTACTTGTGTTATTGATCCTTGCCATTCTGATAGGAGTAAATGGCATCTCAATGGCAATTTTTATTACTATGTTTCTGGGAGCAACTTGAAATCAGGGATAGTGATACCCACAGTAGTTTTTGTATGGAAGAAATATCTATTGGTGAAAGTGAGATGCTGAAGTCGCCCCACTCTCACTGCATCAGGGTCTATATGTGATTTAAATTGTAGCAGTGTTTCTTTTAAAGACTTGTTTGCACTTATGTTTGAGGCATCGATGTTAATAATTGAAATGTTATCTTGGTAGATTTTTTTCTTCAATAAGTATGTAATGTCCTTCCTTATCTCTTTTGAATATTTTTAGTTTGAAGTCTATTTTATTAGGTATTAAAATGGCGACACCAGCTTGCTTCTTAGGTCCATTTGATTGACATATCTTTTTCTAACCCTTAATCTGAGGTAATGTCTATCTTTGATGTTAAAGTGTTTTTCTTCGATATAGCAGAAAGAGGGATCCTGTTTTCTAATTCATTCCATTAGTCTGTGACATTTTATTAGAGAATTGAGACCATTGATATAGAGAGATATCAATGACCAATGATTGTTGATTCCTGTTATTTTGTTGTTGGTCGTTGTGGTGGTTTTGGTATTGGAGTGTGTGTGTGTGTGTGTGTGTGTGGTTTTGCTTGTGAGATTATTCATTTCCTGTGTTTCCATGGGTATAGGTAGCAACTTGAGGTTGGGGTTTTCCTTCTAGTTTCTTCTGTGGGGCTGGATATGTTGATAGCTATTATTTAAATTTTATTTTTATCATGAAATATGATAAAAATTTTCTCCACCTATAATGATCAAAAGTTTTGCTGGGTATAGTAGTCTATGCTGGCATCTGTATTCTCTTAGAGTCTGTAGCACATCTGTGCAGGTCCTTGTGGCATTTAGAATCTCCTCTGAGAAGTTACATGTAATTCTAACAGGTCTGCCTGTATATGTTACTTGATCCTTTTCTTTTATTGCTTTTAACATTCTTTTTTTTTTTTGGTGTGTTTTGTGTTCTGATTATTATGTGGTGAGGGGATTTTTCTTTTCTGGCCCAATCTATTTGGTGTTCTGTATCCTCCTTTTACCTTTATAGGCATCTCTTTCTTTAGGTGAGATAAAATTTTTCTATGATTTTGTTGAAAACATTTTCTGGGCCTTTGATCTGGGATTCTTCTCCCTCCTCTTTATCTATTATTTTTAGGTTTGGACTTTTGATACTTTCTCAAATTTCATAAATGCATCAGGAATATTGTAGGCTTAATATTTTCTTTGATCATTGTATACATTTTTTCTCTTGTAACTTTGGTGCCGGAGAGTTTGTCTTGCATGGTTTATATTCTGTGGGTGAAGCTTGCCTCTGTAGTCCTTGCTTGAGTATCTGAACTTTTCATTTCCAGAATTTCCTCAGTTTGTGATTTCTTTATTGCTTCTATTTCCATTCTCAGCTCTTGAACAGTTTTATTCATTTCCTTCAACTGCATATTCATATTTTCTTGGCTTTATTTACGGTATTCGTTCATTTTCTCCAATAGTTTGTGCTATCCTAGATTTCTTTAAGGTATTCATTTTTTTCTTTAAGGACTTCTACTTTCTTCATAAAATTGTCTTTAAGGTCTTTTCCTTGTACTTCAGCTCTGTTGGAATATTCAGGGACTGCTCTGGTAAAGATAGCTGGGCTCTAGTGGGCATATGTTGTCCAGGCTGTTATTGATTGTATTCTTATCTTGGCATCTAGACATCTGGATTTGAGATGATTATAGATCTAGGTGCAGATTTCTGGATTTGACTTTGTTGAGTGAGTGTTTTGTGCCCTGGTTTCTGTTTCTTCTCTGGATTTTTACAAAGGGTAGTGGGTTCTGTTGCCTGTTTTCCTGGCTTGCTCAGCTGATGTACTCATAGGGAAGTTGCCTGCTGGTGATGGAGGCTGGGATTCAGCCACAAGCTGGGGGAGGAGTGTTAGAAAATGATGGTCTGTGGGATCCATGGGGAATATGGGCAGAGATGGAAGGCTGCAGCTGGTGAGCTTCTCCTGCAGCATTAGGTTTAGGACTGAGTGGTTAGGTGTAGGTGAGCAAACACCAAAGAGGACTGTGGGCAGCCCACCTGGCTTTCTGGCAGGTGTGGCATGTTGCTAAATAATACATTTTGAAAGAAAGTTTA